AAACAACAACAGATACAAACATGACATACAATGAACCCCCGCCACTAAGCACCCGAGGTATCCAAGAAAGTTAATACTAAAGAACAATATAATATATTGACATAAATATTTGCAAACGGTAGACACTATTTTCAACAAAGATGAGATCACCACCAACATAGAAAGTTAATGCTAAAGCCATTGCCTATTTTCAAAATAAAAAAAATTAATGCTGAAGTACAAAAAATTGACATAAATAGTTGCAAAAGGTGGACACGATTTCTACAGAGAGATGAGACACCATAACCCACCACCAAAATGCATCCAGAGAAAGTTGATGTTAAACAACAATCAATTGACACAAATTATTGCAAAAGATAAGACACGTTTTCTCACAAAGTCTAAAACACCGCAAAATTTCGATCAAATTAACACTATCTTAAAAAGTAATAAAGAAGGCGCATGCGATGTTATAAACAACTTTGCAAACGGTCCACATGTTTTTTCTTCATGGTAGTCAAAGATTCCCACAACCCTTTCATACTTCAATTATTTTGGTCGTTGCTATCTATGGTATTGACATGCTAGGATGACATTAGTTACATTGAAATAAAATATAGGCTTAATTGATTGATGATGCCTTGGAACCGTACTAAAATACCGGCTAAGGGTACTGCTTGGAATTTAAAGTTTAAAGAGCGTTTGCAATGTGGGGATTTAGCTATGGCTAGAACTAGGAAGCTATTTGAAAAAACTCTTGTGAGGAATGTTGTTTCTTGGATATGGAGTTCCGTATAGTTTAGTATGTCACTTTCGGTTAGGAGACTTTAAAAACAGGTTAAACAATATTACTATTTGACCATAATTTCGTCACTACACAAAGTGATAACTATAGTTTTATTTTTCGCATTTATTAATTTTAAGTTAAAATTAAAGATTTAAATCTTTATAATGCAAATAATTAACTCTATGATATATCAAAAAAATTAATCTTATTACTACTCTTTCTTAGGTAATTCACTCTCATTATATATATATATATATATATATATATGAAAGGCAAAAGTATAGAAAAAAGTCCTACAAAATTCTCAAATTTGGACTCAAACTTTAATTGTGCTCAATTAAGGTCTCGAATTACATGAAATTCTTAATAAGGTCCCAATTGGATGAAATATTCTCTTGTAGTCAAATGTCTTGGATGCCGGTTAACCGTTCATAACTCTGTCAACCAACTGGATTGCCACATGGAAAACATGTTAACTTGTTATTGCCATGTGGATGCCACCTAGATTCTCTTTGGTGAGATTTTCCTCAAAAGTAATAGGGACTCACTAACGGCATCCACGTGGTAATGACAAGTCAACATTTTTTCCCATATGACAATCTAGTTTGTTGAGAGAGTTGCGGATGATTAACCGACATCCAAGACATTTGAGGGCAAGAGAATATTGTTCATAAGAATTTACATAAATAAATAAATTCTTACTCTTTAATTAATATTGATTCTCAATTAACTAAATGTATTCATAAGTTTTGAAATTCATGCAAAACAAATGTATGTATAATGACTTTTGCACACGACAGAAGGAATTCTTAAAAAACAAAACAAATAAAAAAGTAAAATACAACAAAACAACAACAGAGACATGACATACCATGACCCCCCGCCACCAAGCATCCGAGGTATCCAAGAAAGTTAATACTAGAGAACAATATAATACATTAAGATATATATTTGCAAACGGTAGACACTATTTTCAACAAAGATGAGACCACCACCAACATAGAATGTTAATGCTAAAGCCATTGCCTATTTTCAAAATAAAATGGTTAATGCTAAAGAACAAAAAATTGAGATAAATAGTTGCAAAAGGTGGACACGATTTCCACACAGAGATGAGACACCATGACCCACCACAAAATGCATCCATATAAAGTTGATGTTAAACAACAATCAATTGACATAAATTATTGCAAAAGATAAGACACGTTTTCACACAAAGTCTAAAGCACCGCATAATATCGATCAAATTAACACTATCTTAAAAAGTAATAAAGAAGACTTTTTAAGAAGGCGCATGCAATGTATAAACAACTTTGCAAACGGTCCACACGTTCTTTCTTCATGGTAGTCAAAGATTCCCACAACCCTTTCATACTTCAATTATTTTGGTTGTTGCTATCTATAGTATTGACATGCTAGGATGGCATTAGTTACTTGGAAATAAAAAATAGGCTTAATTGATTGATGATGCCTTGGAACCGTACTAAAATACCGGCTAAGGGTGCTGCTTGGAATTTAAAGTTTAAAGAGTGTTTGCAATGTGGGGATTTAGCTATGGCTAGAACTAGGAAGCTATTTGAAGAAACTCTTGTGAGGAATGTTGTTTCTTGGATATGGTGTTCCGTATAGTTTCGTAAGTCACTTTGGGCTAGGAGACTTTAAAAACAGGTTAAACAGTATTACTATTTGACCATAATTTCGTCACTACATAAAGTGATAACTATAATCTTATTTTTTGTACTTATTAATTTAAAACTCTCAAATTTAAGTTAAAATTAAAGATTTAAATCTTTATAATGCCAAGTAATTAACTCTATGATATATAAAAAAATTAATCTTATTGCTACCTTTTTTTGGGTAATTCACTCTAATTATAAACACACACACATATATATGAAAGGTAAAAGTATGGAAAAAAAGTCTAAAACTTGCATAAAATTCTCAATTTTGGACCCAAACTTCAAATGTGCTCAATTTGAGTCTCAAAACTACCTGAAATTCTCAAATAAGGTCCCAATTGGATGGAATATTCTCTTGCAATCAAATGTCTTGGATGCCAGTTAACCGCTCATAACTCTCTCAACCAATTGGATTGCCACATGGAGAACATGTTAACTTGTCATTGCCATGTGAATACCATGGGGATTTTGTTTGGCAAGATTTTCCTCAAAAGTAATTGGGACCCACCAATGACATCCACGTGGTAATAACAAGTTAGCATGTTTTCTCATGTGGCAATCTAGTTTGCTGAAGAGTTACGGATGGTTAAGTAGCATCCAAGACATTTGAGGGCAAGAGAATATTCCATCCGATGGAGACCTTATTTGAGAATTTCATGTAGTTTGGGATTGTAATTGAGTGCAATTGAAGTTTGGGTCTAAAATTGAAAATTTTGTGTAAGTTTGGGTCCTTATATCATATTTTTGCCTATATGAAATTCATGCAAATTACTCAAATTTCGCTGCACTCAGTTATGCATAAGTCACTGTATTCGTTAGAATTTTTTTTAGGCCATGTATTTGTAGAACATGGTTATGCAACCGCGCACCCCCTTGTCTTGTGCAAGGTGGGGTAGTTATATATGTGTCTTGCTAAGGGTTCCAAGGGATTGTCAAGTCCGCAAGCTGCAAGTCAATTAAACGGAATTACGAATTAATAGTTAAAGAATAGACTTTGATCAGGAAGCAGGATCGCAACAATGGAATTTTATTATCCTTTTCCAAAGTCTTTGCAAGTGAGGGGGTGTTGTAATCAGAAAGTAGCATCCACGATTCTGAAATGGGATTCCGACCTAAGGTGAACAGAGCACACCTGATCGGTGGAAGACAGCAGACACTTGATTGGAGGTGGAAAAAAAAAACCCGTGTTAGGGCTTAGCCAGAGAGTAGAGTTGGTTCCCTTGGGGTTAAGAGTTTGAGAGTTACAGGAGCCTGTCGGCTATAACCTCATAGGGCAACTCCATTCTCCATGTGTGGGTAGCCACCTAAACTATGTTATAATTTTTGAGAGTGGAGTTGGCTTCTGGCCTAGCACTGCTACACTCAACATAAGACATGGATTGGTAGAAATCTGTCTGTGGATGAGTGTAGAGCTGGAGGAAGAAAACAAATCTGCAAGAGAGGCATGAAGAATGTGTGTATGAGAGAGAATTAATGAGTGGGGATATCTGATAAAAGCTAATCTGACCATGATTGATACCTTGGTTACCTCTTTAGGTGTGTGCTCTCCAAAACGGTGTCCCTTGAAGATGAATCTTGACAGCTGAACGAGTGGATCTTTACCACGTGTCCTTAAGTTCCATTAGACTATTTTTTGGGTATAACAGGGAGAAAGACCAAAATTGACTTCTCAAATTCTTAATTTACCCCTGCCTTCACACACGACCATTTCTTCTGATTTAACCACTATATATAGTTATATACTTTCTCCATGTCTTGTTTCCAGAGCATTGTCTGAAGTTCTTTCTGAATACCAACTTAAGATTAGCACTGTGTCTCTGTTGTTGGGTGATGTATGTTGACGCTAGTTAGTTGGAAAATCTACTTAAGAAGGTTAGAGTTTCTGGCTTTTCTTTTCTCTCTTTACAATTGCTTTATTCTATTCCATTTCCTTTTTATTTTGGCAATTTGATAACTATTCGAGGTAATTCCGTTGAGAAAACTATTCAGTTAAAAAAAAAATCTTGTAAACTAAATCTTTTTCTTTATACAAAACATTTTAATTACCGAATGTTTATTTCAAAATCAAACTAGCTAGCATGAATTTTTTTGGTTTACAATTAATTACAAGTGTTTTTCTTCTTCTTCTTCTTCTTTTTTCAGCTTAATGTTTTATAACAAAAGTATCTGTTAACCGTGGAAAGTGTTTGCTATTATGCCATCTATTTGATTTTGAGTTGTAGGTATTTTCAGCATCAATGGAGAATATGATCATGGGCTTTATCTTCCTTCCAATGTTGTTGGCGCAATGCTTCATGGCTCCCTTAGCCATATCTCAACCAAACTTCCCCATAGATCAATTTGCCCTTCTTGAGTTTAAAGCTCACATCACTTTTGATCCTCTTCATATCTTATCCTCTAACTGGTCTCCTGCCACCTCAGTTTGTAACTGGGTTGGTGTTTCCTGTAGTGCTCTTCATCGTAGAGTCACAGCCTTGGATCTTCCAAGCATGAACCTCATTGGCAGCCTCCCTGCCCACTTGGGAAACCTCTCATTCCTTGTTTCTCTCAACTTGAGTGGAAATAACTTCCATGGCCATTTGCCTCCAGAGTTGGGGAAGCTACAACATTTGAGGCTCATGGACTTAAGCAACAATTTTCTTAACGGAAGCATTCCAGATGAGATTTGGTTGCTTTCAAAGTTGGAGATTTTTAGAGTAAGAAGCAACCACTTTACAGGAACTATATCAAGAAATATTGGGAACTTAACTAAGCTAAGGAGAATATACATCGGAAGTACAAAAATAAGAGGTATGTTTTTAGATTGGAAAATGATTAGTACGCATTCCGATCAATACATTTTCTGGCACACTTTCACTTCAATCATTAAAAATATAATATCAATATAATCAATTCAGCTGGTTCTTACATCTTGTATGCATGATTGTATTTTTAAATTTGTTTGCCTTTAATTTCAGATTAAGAAGTAATGATTTTTTAATGAATGTGTTATGCAGTGTGTTAAACCGAGTGTGTACTAATTATTGTCCTTTTAGATTTTTCTAATTTGCCTACTTTTCTTTGGTAGTATCTACTGAAAGATAAGCCAGACTTCATCATTCTTCAATTAAACTCTAAAACTCCAATTTCTTTGTAGGGGAAATACCACAGGAGATGGGTAATCTTCATAATTTGGAGCTATTTTCAGCTAGTAATGGAAGTTTCTCAGGTCTCATTCCAGCAAATATCTTCAATATCTCTTCCCTAAGATGGATTTATCTTTATTCAAATAATCTTTCTGGTACTCTTCCTATCGACTTGTGCTACCGTCTGCCAAATATTGAGCTACTTGAGCTACACAAGAATCAGTTAGAAGGCTTAATTCCGTCAAGTATAGGCAAATGCAAGAAGCTTCAAATTTTGTCTTTATCAAAAAATAGATTCACTGGATTCATTGCAAGAAGCATAGGGAACTTGACCAAACTTTCTGAAATATATCTCAGTCAGAATAACTTGGAAGGTAAGATTCAATAAGCTTCAATAAGCTCACTAGAACCATTCCAAAGGATACTAATATGCACTTAATTATTTTGACATTTCTAAAAATTTCTTATAGGTACCAATCTAATGCAAACTTTTTTTCTAAAATTAAATCTTCATCAACAATTCTATCTTTGCAAAAAAATTTAACACAAGTTTAAAAGTTTATAAATTTTTTTGTTTATATGTTTAATAGGTGAAATACCAGAGGAGGTTGGCAACTTACCTTTGAAGATTTTAAGCATGGGATACAACTCCTTCATTGATTCCATTCCTCCCAAGATCTTCAACATCTCAACCTTGGAATACATTTTCTTTGGAATGAATAACCTTTCAGGCCATCTTCCTTCCACCATTGGACTTGGGCTTCCAAAGCTTACTGAGCTACATTTGTTTAACAATGAACTTAGTGGCATTTTTCCAAATTCTATCTCAAATTCTTCCTTGCTTACCTTTCTAAACCTAAACAATAACTTATTCTCTGGCCCTTTCCCCAGTTCACTTGGCCATCTAAGATTCCTAAGAACACTTCACTTGGGTGGAAACATGTTCTCTGAATTCTCCACTCCAGAAAGAAGCTTCCTCTCTTCTTTGGTAAACTGTAGATTATTGGCAAATCTATCCATAGCGTTTAATTCATTGAGTGTCACCCTTCCAGCTTCAATTGGGAATCTATCTAAATCTCTTCAATATTTGTATGCATCCAATAGCAAAATCTATGGAAACATTCCTGTAGAAATTGGAAACTTGAGCAACTTGATACTTTTGGATCTTTCTAGGAATGATTTGATTGGACCAATTCCAGTAACAATTGGAAGATTGCAAAAGCTCCAAGGTTTGTATCTTTATAGAAACAGATTGCAAGGAACAATTCCGAATGATCTATGTCACCTACAGAGATTATATGCATTGGAATTGGAGCGCAATCAGCTTAATGGATCCATGCCAAAGTGCTTAGCCAATTTGACTTCTTTAAGATATCTAAACTTATGTTCCAATAACTTAACTTCTACCATACCCTTAGCTTTCTGGAGTCTTAAATATATCTTGGTAGTATACTTGTCATCAAATTCATTCAATGGCTCTCTTCCATTAGATTTTGGAAACCTAAGGGTCTTGATCGAGGTGGATTTATCTAGAAATCATCTGTCAGGCAATTTACCTAACACCATTGGGGATCTTAAAGACCTGACTTATCTTTCCTTGGCAGAAAATACATTAGAAGGTAATATTCCTCAATCATTTGATGGGTTGATAAGCTTGGAATTCTTGGATCTCTCTAACAATATTCTCTCAGGAGTGATTCCCAATTCCTTAGAAGAACTCTCCTATCTCCATTTCTTCAATGTATCTTTCAATAAACTTGAAGGCAAAATTCCAAGTGGAGGATCATTCAAAAATTTCTCTGCTCAATCATTTATTGGAAACATTGCCCTCTGTGGTTTGCCAAGATTTCAAGTTCCTCCATGTAAGTCCCACAAGAAATCTGTCCATGTGTTAAGATTAGTGTTGCCACTTGTAGTAGCTACCATATTGATACTTTCCCTTGTCATCATCATCTTCAAAAGACAACATAAATCAAAAGAAAAATCCATAGATGAAGAAACTTTTCCAAGTCTAGCAAAATGGAAGAGAGTTTCATATCAGGAGCTTCAACATGCAACCAACAGATTCAACGAGAGAAACTTACTTGGTACAGGGAGTTTTGGGTCAGTATACAAAGGGACACTTAAAGATGGAGTAAGCATTGCAATAAAGGTCTTCAATCTACAAGTAGAGCATGTACTAGAAAGTTTTGACATAGAATGTGAACTACTACGCAATATTCGCCATCGAAATCTGATCAAAATCATTACTAGTTGTTGTAATGAAAACTTCAAAGCCTTGGTGCTTGAGTTCATGCCTAATGGGACCTTGGAGAAGTGGTTATATTCTGATGTATGTTGTCTAAATATTCTACAAAGATTGAATATAATGATTGATGTGGCTTCTGCTTTAGAATATCTCCACCATGGACACTCTGTTCCAATCATCCATTGTGATTTGAAACCTAGCAATGTGCTGCTCGATGAAGATATGGTTGCACATGTGGGGGATTTTGGCCTTGCCAAGCTTTTGGGAGAAGGGGAATCTAAGATGCAAACATTGCAAATTGCCACTCTTGGCTACATGGCACCAGGTGATCATTCATTTTTCTCATTTTTTAAAATTATTTTCATTGTTAAATATTAAACATCATGTTATTATAATTTGATACAGAATATGGATCAATGGGAATGGTTTCTACAAAAGGGGATGTTTACAGCTTTGGCATCTTAGTCATGGAGACATTCACAAGACGGAAACCTACAGATAAAATGTTTACCGGAGAAATGAACTTGAAGGTGTGGGTGAATGAATCATTATTGCATTTAGGAACTGAAGTTGTGGATGCTAGTTTGATGGAGGAGGGGGAGCATTTCATTGCCAAAGCAAATTGTGTATCATCTATTTTGGAAGTAGCTTTGAGTTGTTGTGCAGAAGCACCCAAAGTAAGAAGAAATATGATGGATGTCGCAACAATGCTTAAGAAGATCAAAAATCAATATCTTAAGGATATTGGAAATTGAGAAGATCATGTAAATTAAATAACTAGTACTTTAGTGTTGAAATTGAGTTTTTGGATAAAGAATAAAGATGGTTTCTCTACTTGCATAAATTTCATAAAGTAAACTTATGGAAAACTCCATTTTGTTTCTTTGTTTATCTTGTTTGCATTGCATCAATAATGCTTTAATAGGCTTTGGAAGAATGCAAAGGCATACATGCATAAATGCAAATGTGCGGCAGAAAGAGCTATTTATGACCGTTTGGGCATAAAATATTCTTTTCCCCTTATAAAGAGTGAGACTTTCTTTTTCGAACTAAAACATCAAAACAAGTACTGTTCGAAGAAAAGGGCTGAATAGTTTGAGGGCAGGTAACTGGCAAAAGCAGACCAGTGGCAACTCTAATTATAAGAGTATATCATCACTATATCATCACCATAATTGTAAAATCACTAGCATTTATGGAAACATTGTTGAGGGTGTGATTATCTTATAAGAAAAAGAACTATCCAAAATTGATAAAATGTCTACTAAAACAACTCTCAAGTACACTCATTTATCTTCCTGGTTGCGTAACCGAACAAGTTTTTTTTTTATTTTTTATTTTTTATTTTTTATTAAACTTCTTATATCTGAAAGCTACATTGGTGTAGAAAATGACTTAATTAGAAGAAATCATAATTTTTAGCACCAAATTGTAGAGATAAAAAAGTTGAGGATTAAGTTTCATGGAATCCAAAAGTTAGAGACGAGGATGCCATTTCACCATTAACGAAATTTGCTCATAAGGCCAAAAACCCAACATGGAGATACCAGTTGGTGCTTAACAAAAGGTGTCAGCACATAGTTGAAGGTGTTGACTCCTTTTGCTATTTCAAAAAGTCATGGTTATGTTTATTATTTTGATGTGGGTCCGATTTCTATTCCAATTAAGTTTTTTAAATTCCTATAAATACTCATCTAAGTCCAAAATTAATGGAGAGTTTTAGAGGCTAGTGGCAACCTTCTTTTCGACACTTTTGGAGATCAAAATAAAAGATTTATCAAGAATAGAAGATCAAATATTTCAATTTTTTCAAATTAGGTTTTGTTTTTCTTTATATTCTTTGTATCTATTGTTTGATATTCAAATGTTTATAACTATAATTTCAAGTTTTATTATTTTTATTATGAATTAATAATTTAGCCAATTAGGGATATGATATAGCCTAATCAATTCAATATAGGTTTTTATGATTTTTATACTTTTGAAATTACTATTTCATGATGAGTATATATTATTGTTCTTAATACTTTTTAATGCTTGATCACCATTAAAATTGATTTGGAGGGCATAGTTGAGACCGAGAAGAGATTTTATGCAATAGCTTCTAATAATATATACCATGAATTGAACGAAAACCATAAATAGACTAATGTGATTCATGTAGCATTAGTGATAAGTGGATTTAATTTTTTACGTAAATTAGGAAATTTCACAAAATATAATGCATTTTTATTTATTTAAATTTACATAAAGATATAGTGGGTTAATAGGTGAAAATATGTTTTATATAACTTGAGAAAGCATATTGAATAAGATAGTAAATCTTGTTGTCACATAAGTAATAACATTTTAAAAGTAATCTAAAATTAATATTGTTTGGTTATGGTGAAGTCTATGCCTTAGTATTTCATATCTTGATTAATTTTATAATAATTGTTATTTTTTTTATTTTTTTAATTAATGTTTATTCTTTTTCGATTGTTCAAATAAATTTAAATTAATTATTTTTTATACTTAGTTAATCATAATCCTCATGGATTCGATACTCTACTTATTATTATATTATTTGAAGTGACTAGTACACTTATTAGAGTGATTTTAGCACATCATAAGAGGAAAGATCTCCCAACACATATTTCTTTATTCATAAGACTTGAACTCAAGATTTTATTTAAGGGGAATCAAACTCTTTTCACCTGAACCAACAAGTCGTTGGTATAATAAATATATCTTTGAGTATTCTTTTTGATAATTAATTAGTAATTTTAAATATACTAATTTTTGTAAAAGTCTGAATGACAAATATGAAAAACTTTATATATATGTTTGGATTGGAGGGAATGAATGAGAGCAGAGAGGAAAATTTTACTGTACTTTATTTTTTCTTTTAATTTGTTAACTTATTCAAATAAGAGAAAAGGAAGGGAACCCTCCCCTTCATTCCCCTTAACCTAAACATGCGGTGAATAGATAAATTTATTCAGTTTAATTAATTTTACGAAATAAAGGAAAAATTTCATTATTTGTTTCTGTATTAATAAATGAGTAAATGCCAAATTTAGTCCTTAATCTTTAAATTTGTTTCTCCTATTTTAACACCTTAAGGATTGGAATACCCCTTTGTACTCTTTCAAAAGCTGTTTTCAACTATTTTCATTATAATCCTCCTTTTGGTTCTTTTTTTCTTATAGTACTTGATAGATTAAATTCTTGCATATAATATGACCCTAATTTAGCCTTGATTTTTTTAATATTTAAATAGATTTAATATCATTTTATTTGATTTTATATTATTTTCATTATTTGTGTAGGATAGGCCTCAATTTTATTTTGGACAGTGATTGGTACACACTCCGGTTCAACACACTGCATGATACACTCATTAAAAAATCACTATTTTTTTGTTTGAAATTAAAAATAAACAAATTTAATGATACAATCATGCACACAAGATACAAGAACTGATTAAATTGACTGTATTTATATTGTATTTTTAATCACTAAATCGAAGTGTGTCAGAAAATGTGTTGAACCGGAGGGTGTACAAATCATTTTCCTTTTATTTTTTCTTAGTTGCTTCTCATATCTCAATCTAATACTTAATTTAGGTTGGATTTTTCACCTTGTAAGTGACATTTATTGTTATGGCATCTAATTAGAGACGACGACCAAGACAGAAACTTTCTGACTCGAGAAATGAGTTTGAAGGCGTCGATGAAAGAGTTATTCTCTTGTTTTGTAACTTGGGTTGTGGATGCACTTTCTATGAGGAGTAACATTTCATTGCCAATGCAAATTCTGGGTCATCTGTTCTGAAACTAGCTTTGGAATGTTGTGCAGAATCACCTAGAAAAAGTAGAAACATATTAATTATATGCTGTGGTGGTACTTGAAAAGATCAAAATCTTAAGGATGTCCTAGAGATCCAGTGAGATAAAATGGGTACTCAAGAAATGCTAGCAATCTATATTCTCTTATGGACACATCATGAACAACCTAAGCACAGGATTTCATAATTGGAGTAAAAAGGTCAAAACTAAATGTGTAATGAATGTTTGAGGAAAAATTAAGATACCAGTTCTGCATCATGATCCAATTAAGCTTTTTAGTACTGTTTTATACATGTATAAGTCTTGTTAGAAGTTGGGTTGAAAACAGAAAATTGCTGTAAGATGTATTGTAAATGCCACTTTCATTCATGTTAGTTTCACTCCCACTAATTTGTTATGCAAAAGGGGTTGACCAAAAAGGTATAATGTTTAAATCCATCTCTAAAGTAAGGTAAAGTAATGAAACATATACATTTTTAAATAAAAAATAAAAATAAATTTATTCATAAAATTTTTAACTTGGGCAAATACTCATTATTTGATGTATTTATGTCATCTTCCGTTAATTGCTGGTTGACTTGAACTTTGTAAACACTAAGGAATCTTTTTTGCTTGCTGGATGCTGACGTGGAACCATTCTTGCCCATTATTTACTAAATAAACCTTCAAGTCCCTTTTAATTTACAAAATCATGCCACCCTAACTTTCCTTGCTCCACCTCATTTTCATATTAGATTTGAACAAATTTGAAATAAAAAACCCATAAAAACTAAGGCCGAGAAAAAAGGGAAAATTGAAAAAAGCGAAAAAAATAAAAAGAAAAAAAGAGCAACAATATGATTCAACCATCAAACTAAAATGAAGGCTAAAAAAAAAAATCCAAAGTTTTGAGAACAAAAACCCAGGAAAAACCTCATTTATAAGAAACAAAGTGATTCTTCAAATCTTAAGAGAAAAACCACAAATTCCTCCTTTAACCTCATAGATTAAACACAATTTCATGAAACAAAACACCTGTACCACTCAAAAACTCCTTTCTTCTCTGCTTCCTCAAAGCATAATGCCATTCTCCAGTAATTAAAACAAGAATATTACAAAAAATAGAAGAATAGAAGCCATACCCATGGTTCCAGAATGGTGGATTTTGCAATTTTAAGGTTTGATCTAGTTTTAAAAGGGATTAAGTGGTGGGGTTAGTTGAAATTGAGTTTTTAAGCCATACCCATGGTTCCAGTTGCATGTTAATCCAATTGCTAGGTTGGTCAAAACCCAGAAAAATCTCAACGATTAGGTTCCTCCAACAAACCCAAATTTCAAACTCAAATTTGGAGGAAAACATAGATATAGACAAACCCAAATCTGGAGGAAAACATACATATGGACAGAACCACAGAGGGAAACCTTTCAAAGCAGGGTTAGACAAGCAGAGAAAAGGGGAAGACTGTAAAAGACCTTGTTGAACCAAATGTCCCTGGCAATGGAGATGGCAATATCTAAGAAAAGAGACCGGTCACTACCAGAAATATTCAGACCGAAACAGTTCAGACCGATTGACTTTGGTCTGAAAATATATTAATTCAGACCATTATTGGTCTGAATACTAATTGATCAGAAATAAGCGGTCAGTTTATTAAGAAATTTTTATTTGAATCGACAGTGGTATGAAAATTGTTGGTGTCAAAACAATAAAAATGTGCCAAAACTTTTTGGATCAATAGTAGTCTAAATAGTATTATTAAAAAATAATTTGTCAGCCAATTAAAGGGGTGATTTTTTGTTGGATATTTTCAGATTGATATTGGTCTAAAACTTACAAGGTAATTTTTTAACTTAAATGATATATATTAACTTTATTTAGACCGATAGTAATTCGAATATGAATTTTTTTTTTTTACTTTTAATGTTTTATATTTATTAATGAGTTTTATTTTTATTTATTATTTTAATTATTATGCTATTTGTTAATTTATATCACTATCATTATGTTTATTCTATTTTGCATATT